GGGGGGGGGGGGGGGGGGGGGGGGGGGGGAAGCCTGCGAGAGAGGAAAGGGGGAAGAACAAAAAGGGGAGGTGGACAGGAAAGGAGGGAGAAGGAAGGGGAAGGAATCTCCGCTTAAGTATCATATATCACACTAAAAAGAATTGGAGGGAATACTGAACTTAATGTAAACATCAAAGGGCACATGGGAGGGTTGGGAGGAGGAGGGCAAAGGGGGACTGACTTAATAAGGCAGGAAAAATGGTTGCAGCTACAAGGGACTGAGGGAATTCTTATGATGGACATGCTTGACATGTTGACTGCACCAATGTCAAAATTCTGGTTGTTATCATACAGTGATTCTGCAAGACTGTGGCCATTAGAGGAAAATGGGAAAAGGGTACATGGCGGTTTTCCCCTGTATTCTTGCAACTACAAAGGATCTACAACTAACTCGATATTAAAATTTTGACTGAAAAAAAAAGACTAGGAAAATAATGGATTCCAATTTTAGTACACATTTGAATCTAAACGGGAAAGCAACTCCCAGTGTTCCTAAAGAGAAAAGAAAGCAGAAGGCCAGAACCAAATGGAAGTCACGGCTGGGTGGCCCTAAGTAGACCCACAATCATCTCTTCCTCAGCAAGGGCTGGTATCCAGGTAAGAGTTGGCAAGCCAAGACCAGCATTCATTTTAAAAAGACAGTGTGTAAGAAAGCCTGGGACCAAGAAAAAAAAAAGTGTTTACTGACCAGGATACTCAGTAAAGAAGGTGACTAAACAAAGGTATTGGTAGAAGTAGAGTACCCATAAAATCACAAGCCTGGCTCTGTGAGGGGTGGGAGTATGGAGTCTAACTTTTGTACTACCCGTCCAGTGCATAAATATAAACTGAAATACAACAGACTCACTTGGAACCAATCCCTTAAGGCCTCTACCAGTAGCAAACCCCAGACCATACCCACTGGGATTCTAACTCTTTCTGAGGCTGCAACCAGAATGTAACTCATTGAAGGCTTCGCTATCTCCATCAGACAGCTTAGATGAGAACAAATCCACGAGGCTTTCAAACGAAACAAACTCCACCATTTCAAATGTATGAACATCTTGTGGAGATGGGATGATGAGCATGCTAGACAGGTACTACGCAGCGGAGGATGGGGTTACCCAGTCTGGAGGGAGCTCCATGGTGATGCGGACCTGAGCTATGCGAGAGGGTGTTAATTGAAGAAAGCTGTTCCACAGCTTTGTAGTAGCCGTTTCCCATGGATCTTCACTTTGAAACTATTTAGCCCTGCTCCAGAGCAGATTAGGAAACCTCATAGACAACTTTTAAGAAGAAGAAGAAAAGACCAGAAAAAACCACATCTGAGCAAAGAATACATGATCACTGAGCCCTGGAAGTGAGAAGTAGATGTTCCGGTTTCCGCATTCAGTTTCCGTTACTATGATAAAACAATGACAGAAATCAACTTGGAGAAGAAATGGTTTCCCACATCACCGGCTGTCATCAGGGGAAGCCAGGACAGTAATCAAGATCCTGAAGGCATGCTTCAGTAACAGACACAGAGACCATGGTAAAACAATACTTAATGGATTGCTCTGACTTCCTATCCAGAGGTGACATCACCAGCAGTGAACCGGACCTGCCTGCCCTCCAGTAATCAACAATCAAGAAAATGCCCTCACAGAAATTCCCATAGGCCAGTCTGATGGGAGCAATTCTGTCATTGAGGTTCTGCCTTCCCTTGGACCCTTAGTTTGTGTCAAGTTGAAGAAAACTAACCAGCACACCATGAAAGTGTGTGTGCCATTCCTCCAAAAGGCTTCCCAAATGCTCTCGGGGTGAGGTCATGCCTGAGTGAAAGAGAGCATAAACGTTCCAAAGGTCAGATTCCAGGCATGTGGTCAAGCAAAGTCAGATGCAAGTCCATCCACCAACTTCTGACCAGGACCACTCTAAGTAGACATTGACCATTTTGGTACACTAGCTAACAAACTTAACAGCAGGCAGCTATGAGCTTACCAAATGGAAAAACTTATTTGGCTTTTGGTACCATTTTATGTCACCTGGAATTGCTAAATCATATGTGAGAACACATACACACACAATGCCATTGAAGTATTTCTAACAAAATGATCCAGATGACTTGGCTCTAAGAGTTAAAATTTTTGTTATCTTGACTACCCCTGTGGCTTCCTGTATTTAGTATGACTCTGAAATCTGATTCTGAAAATGCCTGGTGGTAGTATTTATTCGCTGCTCCTTGAACGCTTGGAAGGTGAAGAGATCCTAGCATTCTATCCCTAAGGCAAAAAAAGTAAGGCTCCTAAGCAATTTCCCTTGAAAAGAGAACTTCCTGGCCGGGGGCTGCCTGTTAGGATCCCCAGAGAGAACACCTGCTGTGTTGCTGGCCAGTCGCTAATTAGACCCCTCTTCCTGGTAACATTGATTGGCTACATTCACCTGGGAAGCTTAAGGAAGAGAGGTGCCTGGCTCCACTCTCAGACCAATTAAATCTCAGCACCTCAGACATAAGATACCAGGCAACGGACACACACTTCATTAATATTTGGTTAGCACACAAAGAAATGGGGTGTGTTGTGACATTTTCATTCAGATCATAAGACCTCTCAGGCGATCCTAATGCGGATCCAGGGCTCAGAACAAATATTCCAGGCCAGGCTTCTCAGACGTCCCAGAGACCAGGTTTGTGATACATCTCAAGCAAGCAAATCTGTGGTGTATTGGTTAGTTGGCATGTTGCTTGGCCAAACCATGCAGATAGAGCATTCTAAGCCATGCAGATTGGGAATTCTCAGGGAAGGACAGTGAGGGAAGACAATACAAATGCTTTCTGCAAGAATGGTGATGTCCGAGTGACTTTGTCTGGCAAGCCTCAGAGCAACCATAACCCTCAGGTTTCTGAAACATCTTCCTTTATGAAGAAGCTTCAGGACATAGCAGGTCACGACAGTGTGCCATTCTCTGCTCTGAACCTGGTTTATCATCATCTCCAAAAGAAGAGGAGGGGGGAAAGAGGGGGGAGAGGAGGGGCAGGAGGATCTACCGACAGCCCAGGTTCTGATGACCAGCACAGGTAGTCAGCCAGGCTTATACTGTGAGGGCAGGTGGCCCCTCCTTTCAACTTGAGCGGAACCTCAGCAAACCTCAGCCTAGCTCCTAAGCCTTTTCCCATGCAGTAGCTGAAGAGCTGTCCCTGTGGAGTCTACTAGAAGTAAAGGGTGGAGGAATCAATCTTTTACTTTCTCGCTTTTGTCTACCACTGTTAGAGACTGAACTAGAGTCTTCAAAGACGCTAGT